GTAAAAATTACAATTGTGTTAAATGTCCCCAAGTGCAGTGCATAATGAAAGCATATAATAATATATCACAGATGCCCTCATCTAGCCTGAGGAAGAAAGTGTCAAATTTGGAAAGAGTCAAGCTGAGATCTGAAAGATGTATAAAGTTAGTGAAAAAGCGAGGTGTGAGGAGGTGTGGAAAAGATGCATAGACTTAGAAAAACAGACGTGGTTGGAGATGAGGACGTGAGGAGAGTAGAAAAATATGGCTGTAGAGAGTTCCTGGTCAGACTTAAATATAGGAGTCCTGGTTCAGTGAGATAGGCATTCATGTAGGCTCCATGGCACTGTGAGTGTAGTGCTGACTTTGCAGTTGATTCTAGAAAGCGGGCTGTCTATCTTGCCCCTGTGGAGAGTTGCCACTTGGTTCACTGTTTTGGGTATTTGGGTGTTTATAATATTATTCTTGAGAAACTGTCTTAATAACCCACCAAAGGACTGGAAGTCTATCTCTGAATCATAACACTGTAGCTAGGATCCTATTCTGTGCTCCTCAACTTTCCCAGGCGTGGGCTGCCCAAAATCACCACCCTGTTGGGCCTGCCTCTCTGACAGTGGGTCTGTCCCCTGGGCCATATTTTGTACTTGGATTCAGTCTGTGAATGCACCAAGTTTCCAAGTCTCTGTTCCCTCTGCTATGTTTTGTCCAGGAATCGACAAGCTCTTGCTCTGATGTGGTATAGTGGAGGTTTAATTCATCTTCCAATATCTTGACATTCTAAATTACAAAAATTCCATTCAATTATGTTTAAGAGATACAGGACCTCCATTTGCCAAAAACAAATATTTGTAAATGCATCAGGCATCTCACTAAATTCTGAACATAAGGCATAGTCATTTCATTAGATTTGAAAATCTTGGGATCTTGAAATACATTTTGAAAAATAAGTTGCTAGGCCAAGAGAATACATTTAACATATACACTCAACAAACATTTCTTAATTGGATGCGAAGCATTTTTCTAGGCTCTATGGTTCTATCAGGGACCAAAGTAAAGATCCTGCCCTCACAGATCTATTCTGATTGCTAGCACTTTTGTAGCTATTTGGTAGTCATCTTGGCAAATTAGGAGAAATGTTACAGGTTCTATATCTAAACTGTGGTGAGGATAGTTACATGCAACCCACCAGATAGTTACCAAAAGAAATGCTCTCTGAGAACCAGTAGACTTTTAATGGTTTATTGCACAAATACTATGACTCCTTTGAAATGTCGAATGTGACAACAGTATCACCCTTACCCAAGTCTCATGCTTTTCTCCATATTTGACTCAGAAAATCCTTCTGTTCCTCCTCCCTTAAATACGCAAATATTTCAAGGCTCACAAGACAACCAACCCCTTTTCTATTCTGAGGATTATCCAGCCCTTGCTGTTTTCTCTTCGCCCCTCTGGCCAGGGTTACTCCACTGCTCTCTGCCTTCTCCATTATTACAAAGCTAAAATCTTAGGAGGACTTCGGGGCTTTTTTAAATTTCCAATTCACATCATTGCTATGGTAATATCACCTTATTCTTTTAAAAGGAACTCATGAGTAAAGAGGCAAATACATGAATACTAGCCTGCAGGAAGCCTCAAGGGGCAGTAGAGCTATGGAATATTTTTCCAATAGTCACACTTCCTTCCACTGAAAAATTCCCATAAAGTAGACTGGAAAGGGGCAGATGGCTGCACAAATAACTACTTTGAGATATTCAATGCAAAATATTGAACCCATATGTGGGGGTTCATTTCCTTTTTAAAACTGGTAGGGTTTTTAATATACTTTTCTCCCACCATTCCACACCCAAAACCCAGACTGGCCTTTGTGAGTTCAAACAGATGTCCTAGTTGTAACTGGCAAGCTGACATAGAAGGAGTTGCGTTAGCAACAGACCCCCTGAAAAAGCCTGGCAATATTTATAACTGTACAAGTTAATACTGTTTTCAGCATCTTTTGCCTCACCTCCACATCTCCCTGAATTAAAACATTCTTTTTAGTAAATTTGACAAGATAGAGCAAGCCCACAAGTTCATTTCAGCAATAGATGACTCACAAACAAGATGTTGACAGGTTTTTATGACTACACATTCCAAATAGCCTGGTCTCACAAAAGTGCTCATGGAGATTGATAGATATTTTAAAAAGAAATAAAAAAGAAGCAAATATATAAAAATAGTTTTTCATGAAAATGGATGATAGAAAGTATTGACCTCACCCATCAGCACTCTTTCTTTTGTGAGCTTTTCTTCTCTTTGACCTGTAATCATGGTCTTTATAGGAAATAGCAAAAGAAGCCTAGCAGTAACTAAGAAGATGGGTGGCTGGAAATAAATGTTTCCTCAAGCATTTAGGACTTTTCAGAAATGTCCATCACTGAAATGTTAGTCCCATAGAAGCACTTAGCATGGCAGAGGAGAAAAGCTGATAGCTGTTATTAATTTTAAGGCTGGATGACAGCTTTCAGTCCAAGAGCAAGGCTTAACTTTGCATTCTGAATAATGCAGAGATTTTCATTAGTTGGAATAGGAAATGATAAATAATATATTGTCTGCCAAAATACTGTGACATTACATTATATACTTGCAGTTACCTTTCAGAATAAGCTTTCCAGAAGTGTACTTAGACAAATTGGAAAGCTAGCAGTATTGTTTTCTTATTTTATGTTTTACTTTTGGAAAAACAATTCAAAAGACACGTCTTCTTAGCTGTGGGCTGGTAAGGTCATATCCAAAGGGCAGTTCATTATTGCACCTAAAAGCTAAGTGTTGGCACAAATTGTACTAGTCTATGAGATCATTGCAATTGGTTTCATAGATTTCTTTTTGCTCACATCTGCCTTCTGGAGACTCTGGGCAATTCAATTACAAGTGCACTTTTGATTCGTACTTCTATCAATAAAAAGAATATAAAATTACCCTTGCTTGAGAACGATCAGACTAAAAGGTTTGTGATTGCTTTTCACTGTCATCTCTCTTCCAGCAGATTATCATGTCAGGTTGGTCGAGGGCATATTTACTTTGTTTTGAGCACACAAGACTCAGTTTCTGACTCTAAGTATTATTTGAATTGATGGTAACACAACTACTATATCCAGATGTCTCTCGGTAACTTAATGCATGACCCCAATAACAAACACCAGAATTAAACCGTTAATGGAAAAGGCTGCTAGCAGCTGCTTCAATCCCAGTTTGATGGGTATTAAAATAGCTGATTCAGAGATTTCTATAAAGAAACTTAAGCTAATTAAAGACACCAAAGTCGATGGAACTATAATATCTGCCAGCATCATACAATCTATATACACTCACATTAATACTCTACCAGAAGGCTGATAGAAGGTCAAAAAACGTTTACTCAATTTAGATGAACCCTTTTTATGCATGAACCTTTTTTATGAACCTTTTTTCATTTTGCATTTTCCAGGTTTACTTAAAAATCACAGGCCTCAAAGAAAAGTCCTTTCTATATTTATTCTACTAGATAATAAAGACTATTGATTATTCTGCCTTTTCACATGCAAAAAGGCAGGACAGAGCATTCGCATCGTTTGAGAGCCTCCAACTAATTCAATGAGAAAAAAAGAAAGACGATTCTTTCAATACCTACTCAAAAGTATCATACCGAATTTAATTGAGATTTATCATTCAGTGTTTTAATTTCTGAAGTATTTATTCATCCCCAATTCTAATCATTTTCTTTTGATCCCTCTTCCAGTTAAAACTGTTCATACTCAACCAGTTGTGTTTTGGCTGTGAGTAGGAGGAAGGCTGCTGACTTTTTATACATTAACATTGTCAGACTGTAGAATTAACTACTAATGTAACTCCCAAGGATCGACTTTTTGATGTTCAACCTCATAGTGGGAAGTGTTGTCATTACAGCTGCACTTTTGAAATGTCAGAAACTTGCTGGTTTATCTAGCATAAAAAAATACCCAAGGCAAGCATAAAAGTTAAGATGCAGTCTGTTTGCATGTCTTCACTGCCTGGTGAGTTTCTTCCGAGGGTCTAATATTTATTCCATTTGGTCAAATAAATTGAGGTGAGAACTTATTGCCAACTCGTTTCCAGTTTACATATCATGCACCACCTCTGTTTGGTGGGGAGCATTCATCAGACCCCTTTGGAGTTGTGTTCTAGAAAGTTACATGGCTATCTAGAAACTTACCCTCATTTTGTTAAAGAGTCAACTTTACAACTCAGACAGTAACTGCAATGATATAACCAAATCTCTGATATGGTTGGGTGTAATAATTATTAGTTTTAAATAAAATAAAATTTCCTTTGGTATTACGTGAGTCCATGACAGAGTCGTGCCAAGAAGTGCGTAATACATTAGCAGGTAGGTGTTTAAGAAATGCAGTGCCTGACCTATGTTGCAAAATCTCTACCTATATAACTTTTCAGGTTGTGTAGGTTTTTCCCTGTGTGTGTGTGTGTGTGTGTGTGTGTGTGTGTTCCTGCTAAAATGTGATTGCTTAACTTTTTCAGCATCTTTGTTTTTTATGTTTTGCCTAGAAGGTTGTCATTTTTAGTTTTCTTAGAGCATTTTATATAGTTTATACACATGTAGAGCTTGCTATAATGGGTATCATTGTATTGATGCCATTGCTATTAGTCAGATTTCAAAATTCTACAGCCAGCATTCTTACAGTGGTGATGGATAAAGCAACCCTGAATTTTTTACTCAGCATACTGTTTAGGTCTCTGATGAAAAGTTACTAAGACATGTTGTGACAGCAATCTGTAGGCCTTTGTGGCTCTGGGAAGCTTCCCATACAACTTGGGTTGAGAGTTTCAATACTCAGTGCCATCTGATTTGAGTGCAGTTTGGCTTATAAATGCTTGATTGTAACTTTACGATGGTGAGTTCAGTCATTTTCAGTTCCAAATGGGAATGATTTCAGAGCCCTGTAATGATTAGTTTTGGGAGCTATATCTCATCCAAAATCAACCCACAGGGAGATGTAACAATACTTACAGGTATCCTCTTCTTCCATGAAAATACTGATCACATAACAGGCATACACAAAACCAACCAACTGCAAAGGAGAGAAAAGAAAATACTTTAAGAATCTAATCCAAATGTCCATAATTACAGAGCCTATATAATCCAATAGAGAAAGAATATATGGCAGTAACGTCTATAAATCTGTAATAGGAAAAAATCTTGGTTTTGCATAATAGCTGTGATTTTAAGGAGGCTTTTCATTTCTACTCAGCTTTAATAGCTTTCTAAAAAATTATACAAGAATGGGAAAAAAACCAATTTCTAGATATTTCACTTAGATTTTGATTTGGGATTTATAGGTCTTACATTTTAAGATCACCACAGGTTATTCAGAACATATATTTTAAAGTTTTGACTATTTATAGAGCAATCTGTAGCTGCACTCATTAATTATTACTACAACTATTTTAATGTTTAATAACAAAAAGAAATCAAAATACATTAATTATCAATTAAACACCAATCGTCTACTGAACCATTTAAAATGCTCAGAGAATGTAAATTCTATTTAAATGCCATGTTTTGTTAATTATATCATAATGAAATGCATTAACTTTCAGGTATTAGTAGTAAAATAAAATAGATAAGATCATTTATACTTTGGATACTAGTAGTGAAAAGAATAAATGCAGGTGCTTTCTACATTTTTTCTACTTATATTGAGAAGACAATTTTTATCCTATGGCGCCAGTGACACTGAAATTCTTAGAAGACAAAATTGTCATTGAATCTAGTTTAGTCTGAAATTACTTCGATAAATACTTTGATGAAAAAGTATTAGAGTCTGTCTTCTTGTCTTTCTCTCCATTGTTAAAGTCTATCCCTCCTTCTCCTTGTAAAATAACATTGGGAAGGAAAGTTTCTGATAGCCCCAGTGTCAAAGGCTGAATGCAAAGAATAATGTAACTGGTGTTTGTGACTGTCCAGGTAGATGAGGACTTTGAACTCATAACCAGCTTAGACTGTCTAAAGGCCAAGAAGTCTCTCAGAGGGCGAAAGGTTAGAGTGAGAAGAACTTACATAGAGAGACTTGCCAGAGTACTGAAAGGTCCTCTCACCCCAAGGGTGCCTTTTCTCATCCAAACCAAGTGAGGGGGTACTTCAGAGAAACAGAAACATGGGGAGCTTGACAAGGTTCTTGTAATTTGGGGAACACAGGTGCTTGGCACTTAATCCACATTTGAAGAAGTCAAAAGTTGAAGGGCTGTGGCTAAGTGTGCTTTTGGTGACAGTGCATGCAGACACAGGGCTGGGAGGCATGGCCGGCCAGGTGTATGGGTGCCCTTAGCCTGGCAGGTAAAGCCTTTTGGAGAGAGCTGGCTGTGCAGGTGGCCTCAGAAGAATGATGCTGCTACTTAGTATATAGAGGATGTGTAAGAATGTCAAGAGGCCAGCTAGAGAGGCCGATCATCCAGAGAACCAGGTGAGGATGCCAAAGAATGGCTCGGGTGGGTTTCTGAAGAACCCACAAAAGCACCTACAAAAGAAGAGCTGCAGTTGGAATCTGTTCCACCAGGGAGCACCTCCTGCTGGATTACAACGGAACCAGCCATGTAAGACCTGTTCCTTATCTCTTCTCATGAGTCTTCCTTTTACTGCATCTCTAGAATAACCCGACAGAGAGAAGTGAAGTGAGAAGAGGGAAAAACAGTGAGAGGTCCCTTCCTCACTGCTGATCTGTAAGCTGAATTCAGACCCAGGCTGAGGAGGAGAGCTTAAGTAGAGGAGAGTTTGCACTGGCTGGGGCTGAACTTTTTCTTTTTAAAAAAATTGAGATAAAATTGGTGTACAATATGATATAAGTTTTAGGTGTAGAATATTATCATTAGACATCTGTATACTCTACAAATGATCATCAGCAAAAGTTCAGTCACCATCCAACACCATATAATTGACCGCTTTACCCATTTCACCCTCCTGCAAAGTCACTCCCTCTGGTAACCACCAATTTGTTCTCTTTATCTAAGAATTTTTTGTTTTGTTTTATTTTTTTTAGATTCCAAAGAAATCATATGATATTTGTCTTTCTCCATCTGACTTATTTCACTTAGAATACATAATACCCTCGCTGTCCATCCATATTGCAGCAATGGCAAGATTTCATTCTTTTTTTTGTGACTGAGTAGTATTACATCTATCTATCTATCTATCTATCTATCTATCTATCTATCTATCATCTATCATCTATCTATCACAGCTTCTTTATCCATTCATCCATCAATGGACACAGGTTGTTTCCATATCTTGGATATTGTAAATAATCCTACAATGAATATGGGGATTAGTGTTATCATATTAATGCTATCAAATTAGTGTTATCATATTCTTTGGATAAATACCCAGAGTGAAATAGCTGGATCATATGATAGTTATATTTTTACTTTTTGGAGAAATCTCCATATTGTTTTCCATAGTGTCTGTACCAATTTACACTCCCACCAACAGTGTATGAAGGTTCCCTTTTCTCCAAATCCTTTGCAACATTTTTTGCTGTTGCTGTTAATCCTTATTCAAGGATATTTTTCCATTGATTTTTAGAGAGAGTGGAAGGGAGCGGGTGAACACAGAGAGAGAAACATTGATGTGAGAGAGACATTTATTTGTTGCCTCCATAGGCGTCCCAACCAGGGCTGGGGATCAAGCATGCAACCAGGGTATGCGCCCTTGACTGGAATTGAACCCAGGTTCCTTCAGTTGACAGGACGATGCTCAATGAGCCAAACCAGCTAGAGTCTCTGCAACATTTTTTATTTCTTATCTTTTTGCTATTATGGGCTGGGCCTTTTAATATCTACAGGGGACCAAAAGAGCTATAAGTTCTGCCCTGAAATGTCATACAAAGGGTGAGATAGACCGATGGCCAGACACTATACTTGAAGGGGCAGTGGGAGAAAGAATAAAATGCATTTTAATTGTATTCTACCAAGTCCAGCTCATTCAATAAACCAGTTGCATGCAGAAGAAATGGCCTACAATCCTATTACTAAAAACTTCCAAATGGATTTTCTTCCAATTATTTTTCTCATAGTTGCTATATGCCATGGTTATAGTCTTATGACCTACATCAATATTTTTCATAAGCTTAATTATTACTAACTACATATATTAGCATAACTTATATATGATAATGTATTTAAGTAACCTCCTATTATTGAACATTGTTTTCATTATAAATACTATTATGATGAATATTAATATTTTTCTGTATTTTGGATTATCTGATTCCAAGAAGTGCCATAAATAACATATTTTATCCTACTATAGCAGTGAATGATAATGCTTGCTTTGCCACACCCTTAAAAATATAGCCACTATAATACACAAATTATATATCTTCATTTATTTAATTTATAATAGTTTTATTCATTTGAAACATTTTCATATTTTATTAGCCATTTATATTTTTTTCTTTTCCAAATTATTTGCAGAAGTCCTTTACCCGTGTATTAACTTGCTGTTGTTTTCATTATTTGTGTGAGATCTTATGGGTTGTATATACTAAGCTTTTCTTTATGTCAGCAGGTGATAGTGATGACTTCATAATTGTGGGGTATTTCTTAGTAAATCATCTATTGGAAGATATCTGCCAATGAATAACTTTCTATTTTCTTGGTGAGTTCTCTTTTAGGAAGGTGTGTGTGTGTGTGTGTGTGTGTGTGTGTATGTGTGTGTGTGTGTGTGTGTGTGTAATTCAAGAACTTTCTATTGGTGCTGTTCAAATGACCAAAAACATGTGGGTTAAAATAAACACAAATTTATTACCCTATACACTGTAGTTCTGGAGATCAGAGATCTGAAATGTGTCTTTGT